CCAGTCTGGATTATTGCAATGCCTAGTAATATTGGACAGATACCTTGTATTCAGTTTTTTCTGATGCTCATCTCATTCCCACCCTTCATCTAATATAGTCTATATGGCCACCAAATTGAACTTTCTAAGACACGAGTCTAGTGTGACTGAGAAACTGATTTAAATTTCATCCAATTTTAATTAATTTAAATATTAAAAAAGTAGTGTAAAATACTTTACCATTACTGACAACTTTATTGTTTTGGAAGGACTACATTTCACTTCAACCATTGCATTGCATCGATCTTATTTTTGTATTATAGTGTGCATGTCATGTATATGTTGTTTCTGGGGTTACACATAAACACATCACTGACCTAGCTGATGTCAAGCAATTGATGTGTTTATTTGGATATTTTATGAAAGCAACATGAGTTACAGTGATACGAAGGAAATAATAATTGGTAATTAAATATACTTACTTTAATTACAATTCAATTATTCTAGGTTAAATAAGTGTGTACTGATTTTAAAACTTAAAATGAATACATATTAATGATGCATAGTCAAGTAGAGGCCAGTACTGTGGCCAGAATAGTAAAAAAATAAGAGACTGGAAGAAGTACTGTGAATTTCACAACAAATGCCAATTACAATTTGCTGTGAATAGAGCAAAATAAAAAAGCTGTTAGATAATGTACAAAAACTGAGTTAAAGTAGAGAATATTGTGAGACATTTGCAACAAATACATAACACATTTGATGAGAATTTTCCTTTTGATAACCAAAAAGGAATAGATAAAATTAGTTGCCTGAAATCATAATTAAATGGGCAACCAAAATTTTAAATAACTATCAAACATAATCTGAGCTTATAACTTTGTGTAGCTATAAAGTGGCTTTGTGTGTTACATACACAAAAAATCAAATTTTAAGTGGAAATATGGGAAGATAAGTTATTACTGTAGTTATGGAAGTTTTGTTAGGATATTAGGAAAAGAGAAAAATTATATTGTATAAAAAGTAAAAAAAAAAATTTAAGCCACCAGTCAACTGCCTATAAGAGATCTAACAATATCAAAGATTAATTCAAAATTAGTAAAGCTACATATATTCTTCTCTAGTATTTTTTTTTTTTTTGAGAGAGACAACAAGCGGGGAGAGGGGCAGAGGCAGAGAATCTTTTTTTTTTTTTTAATATTTTATTTATTTATTCATGAGAGACAGAGGGAGAGACAGAGAGAAGCAGAGGGAGAAGCAGGATCCCAAGGAGCAGGGAGCCCGATGCGGGACTCGATCCCAGGACCCTGGGATCATGACCTGAGCCGAAGGCAGACGCTTAACCATCTGAGCCACCCAGGCACCCTATTCTTCTCTAGTTTTAAGTGAGTTATACAATATGAAATATTGCCCACTTAATACTCTGGGTACATTTTGCCTCAAAAGACTTCCAAATCAAATAGAAATGTCAATTTGCAGCCTACAAAATCAGAGTCATAGCATAGATATTTTAAAATAGTTTATATATGTCAAAAAAGAATTTCCACTAGATATGAAAAAAATAATTTCTATTATGATTAAACAGCTATGCTAAGTTAAAAATATGAATTCTGTGAATTTTATTTTATTTTTTTAAATTCTTTTTTTTTAAATTTTATTATGTTATGTTAGTCACCATACAATACATCATTAGTTTTTGATGTGGGGATCCACGATCCATTGTTTTTGTGTAACACCCAGTGCTCCATGCAGTACGTGCCATAAATTTTAAAGAGCTTTATGTCTCCCTAATTGATTTGCTCCACAGTATGAAAAGTATGATGGTTTAGTATATATGGGTAAATATGAATCACTGTCACTTTATGGAACTGTTGAAAGAAATAGAAAACAATGAATTTATTTATGTTCTTTGCCAATGCTCATTGGTTCAATGGTTGAAGAGTTTTACAGATCTTTTACAAAGATTTACTGTATTTTGAACTCCAAGGCTTTCTTTAAAAAAATACTTGGCAAATATTTCATAATCAAGACCCCCAAAATGACAGTGTAATTTGTTTTCTCACCAGTATCACACTACATATAAACAAAGAAAATCTGGAACGCCAAGGAAGGAAAAGCTGTTTTTGTTACCTAACTAAAAGGGTAGGAATATTTCTTGAAACTAATACTTTTCATAAGTTAAAAATAATTTTACTTATTTTTCTATCATGAATCAATATATGAAAGATTTTCACTAGAAGCAAAAGCATTGTCAAAATACACAATGAAGAAACAGGAAATCTTAGTAAAGAAATAGAAACTATATTTAAAAAACACTAAATGAAGATAGTAGAACTGAAAAGTGCCATATCTCAAACATTTGATAAGCTTAACAGCATAACAGCATAGAGATGACAAGAAAAAGAATCAGTAAATTTGAAGATAGAGCAATAGAAATTATCCAATCTGAAAAAGAGAAAAAAGGTTGGAGAGAGTCACTGACAGAGCCAGTGACCTGTGGGACAATATCAAAAGATTTAACACAAGTACCTGGAATCCCAGAAGGAGGAGAAGCAAGGGCAGAAAAAAATATCTGAATATGGACAAAATTTTCTGAAATTTGGGGAAAAGTATAAGTGTGCAGATTTCAGAGGCTCAGAGAACCCCAAACAGGAGTAACATAAAACCACACTTAGACCAGCATTCTCAAAATAGATGAAAACCAAAGGTAATGAAAAATCTTGAAAGCATGCAGAGAGAAATGACATATACAGAGGAAAAATAATTCAAATGACTTCTCATAACCCATGGAGGACAGAAATCAATGTCTATCTTTTGAAAAATACACACAAACCCCAGAATTCTATAGCAAGAAAAACAATCCTTCAAGAACAAAGGCATTTGGTAAAAGAAATTGATAATTCACCACCGGCAAACGTGCACTCCAAGAAATGCTAAGTTAAGTTCTTCAAGCTGAAGGAAAGTGATACCAGATGGAAATTCAGACAATTGGGAATTGGTAATTGGGAAATCAGGAAGAGCATGGGAAAGGGTAAATATTGGGTAAATATAAAATATGAGGGCTTGGGGGGGGTCTTAATTTCTTTTTTAAAAATTTTCTTAAAATTCTGTTCAGTTAGCCACTGTATAGTATATCATTAGTTTTTGATGTAGTGTTCAGTGATTCATTCATTGTGTATAACACCCAGTGCTCATCACAACACTTGCCATCCTTAGTACCTATCACCCTGGAGAAGATATTTGCAAATGACATTACAGATAAAGGGCTGATATCCAAGATCTATAAAGAACTTCTCAAACACAATGCTCAAAAAACAAAAACCCCAGTCAAAAAGTGGGCAGAAGACATGAATAGACACTTCTGCAAAGAAGACATACAAATGGCTAACAGACACATGAAAAAATGCTCAATATCACTAGCCATCAGGGAAATACAAATCAAAACCACAATAAGATACCACTTTACACTGGTTAAAATGGCAAAAATTAACAAAACAGGAAACAAATGTTGGCGAGGATGTGGAGAAAGGGGAACCCTCTTACACTGTTGGTGGGAATGCAAGCTGGTACAGACACTCTGGAAAACAGTATGGAGGTTCCTCAAGATGTTAATTTCTTTAAAATAATAGCCTGTTTAAATTTCTGAGTGGAGTGCCAATGTGACTTTACATGGATTACTAATGGCAAAGAAAAAAATATACCAATACAATGGAGGGAACTCGTGGTCAATACATGAATCAAGAGATCAAACATAGTTTCACTTGTATGCCACCTGATATTTTATATTTATTAAATACACTATCTATGAAGTAGTCTTATAAAAAATGTTTAGTCTGAAACTTAAGCCTCTAGACATAACCTTCAGTTCACAATAAATACAAAGGATAGAGGAACAAGTTAAGCCCACCTTGAGCAAAAGGACAAATATGGAATCACATTATACAGGTTACTTCTTCTGAGTCTTCAAAAAATGTAAGGAGGTGGAGGGCAAATTCTTGACCAATTCTTATTAGACCCAATAAGCCGCAGTCATATAAAATATATGAGCTTAGTTTGGTTTTTGGCTTTTAAAAAGCTGGCACTTTTAGAAGATATTCTTTAGCCAATCCAAGAAATTTGTAAATGGGCTGAATATTATAGAACAATATAGGATTATTATTAGTGTTTTTTAGGTAACAATGGTTTAATGGTCATCTAGAAGATTACCCTTAATTCTAAGAGCTGTATGTTGACTTATTAGAGGTGACGTGATATCTAAAACATTCACTGAAAAACACAGCAAAATGATATATGTAAAATATATTCAATGTATATGATATATATATGCATATATTAAAAACTTAACAATTTGGTAGCCAAAGACCTAGGTTGACTTGGAAAGGTTTTCCTTGAGTTTTTGAAAGTTTTCAAATTTACATAAAAGGTACAACAGTGTTACAATGAAGTTTGTTTGCCCTCCACCTAGATTCAATATATCTGATATTTCTCTCTCATAAATATGAACATGTTCATAGGTCTTTGGCTACCAAATTGTTTTTAATTTATTTCAATTGTAGGGCATGTGGAATGTATGTTATCTGTATTATAGAATTTATTGTAAGAAACTTTCTTCAAACTCCTCTCCAGTTTTTCAACAGCTGAACTCACAATATCCAATAAGGGCACAGCATTTCTTTTTTTTTTAAAGATTTTATTTATTTATTTGACAGAGAGATAGAAGAGCACAAGCAGAGGGAATGGCAGAGAGAGAGGGAGAAGCAGGCTCTGCACTGAGCAGGGAGTCTGATGTGGGACTCGATCCCAGGACCCTGGGATCATGACCTGAGCCAAAGGCAGACACTTAACCATCTGAGCCACCCAGGTGCCCAGGCACAGCGTTTCTTATTATTAATCTTCAGGGGGTTGAGCTTTGAATAAAAAAGTGTCTTGTTTAGTATATTCTATGGGATTTTGTCCAGAATTAATTATCTGAAGAAAATATGGATGAGCACTGATGCATTTAAAAAATATGCATTATAGGGTCTTCCTTCCACATGAATTTATGTATAGTAATAATGGTGATTATCATTAAAGAACCACAGTACTTAATAAGCAAATACTATGTGCCAGATGCCCCTCTAAGCATTTAAATTTTGTGTTAAATAATCTTTACCATAACATCATTAGGCGGTAGAATAGTGATAATGGTAAAGGATGTGCCAAAGCTAAATGCTTTCTGACTCTCATTACATCAGGAGTTTCTCACCACTATGAAATCTTTGATGTTGAGTAAGTTGATAGCAATGAGTAAAGGCCTTTCCACATTCCTTACATTTGTGTGGTTTCACACCAGTATGAATTCTCTGATGTTGAGTAAGTCGATCACTACGATTAAAGGCCTTACCACATTCTTTACATTCATAGGGTTTTTCACCAGTATGAATTCTCTTATGTTGAGAAAGACCTGAGATAGAACGAAAGGCCTTCTTACATTCTTTACATATATATGGTTTCAAACCAGTGTGAATTGTCTGATGATAAATCAGTTGAGAATTAAGTCTAAAGGTTTTTCCACATTCCTTACATTCAAAGGGTTTTTCCCCTGCATGAATTGACTGATGTGTTTTAAGGTCTCCAACACGACTGAAGGCTTTCCCACATTGTTTACATTCATATGGTTTCAAATCAGTATGAATTATCTGATGTTGAATAAGGTATGAATGAAGCTTAAATGTCTTCCCACATTCTTTGCATTCATGTGGCTTCTCGCCAGTATGAATTCTTTGATGTTGTGTAAGTTGAGAGCCTCTACAGAAGGCCTTCCCGCAGTCCTTACAATCATAGAGTTTCTCACTACTATGAATTCTCTTATGTTTAAGAAGGCTTGAACCCCTACTAAAGGCCTTCCCACATTCCTTACATTTATGCGGCTTCTCGCCAGTATGACTTCTCTGATGTTCAGTAAGTAGATAGCTGCGAACAAAGGCCTTTCCACATTGTTTACATTTATATGGTTTCTCACCAGAATGAATTTTCTTATGTTGATAAAGACTTGAACGATGACCAAAGGCCTTCCCACATTCCTTGCATATATAGGGTTTCACACCATGATGAATTTTCTGATGTAGGCACATGTGTCGGTACAATCTAAAAGTTTCCCCACATTCCTTACATTCATAGGGTTTCAAACCAATATGAATTTTTTGATGTTCAGTAAGGTGAGAATAACGTCTAAAAGACTTCCCACATTGCTTGCATTCGTAGGGTTTTACACCAGTATGAATGACCTGATGTTGAATAAGCTGTGAATAAAACCTAAAGGCTTTCTCACATCCATTACATTCATAGGGTTTTAAATCAGTGTGAATTTTTTTATGTCTAATAAAATGCTGGAGAACTATAAAGGCTTTTCCACATTCCTTACATTCATAGGGTCTCACACCATTATGGTCTCTCAAATGCTCGGTAAGGTGTGAATATTTTCTAAAGCCCCACCTACATTCCTTACATTCATAGGATTTCTCTCTAGTGTGACTTCTCTGATGTAGAGGAAGAGATATATGTTTTATAAATGTCATTTGACTAAAACATCCCATGTTAGGCCCCTGTTCTCTCCCAAATTCAATTCTGCACTGTGGGTCATTTCTGAAAATAAACCTCATAAGGTTGAAGGTTTTACTTCTTTTCAATGTCTCCCGATGGTATGAATTTACTTCATAACTGCTTTTTTCTGAAGATAACTTGTTGGTCTCAGTTGTAAAATCAAAGTCTGAAAGAAAACAAGAAAATAAACAAATGCTATTTTCCTGTACTGGGGATGAGGAGGGGCCTTCTAGAATAAAAATAGTGATAAATTGAGAAGTATATTCATTAGAAGTAAAAGGGTCATAAAATCCTAAAATACTGTCATGAAATTTTTAAAAGGCAAGAAGGCCTCAGAAAATTATGAACGTTCATATTGAGAACTATAAAGTTTGTGAGTAGGCAAAGAGAAAAAGTCAGTAGTTCTCATATTTAGTGTGAATCAAAATTATAGAGGGAGCTTCTTATATACACTACCTTTTAGATATCTGCTGAGACTGAGTGAATCAGAATCTAGAGGAGTAGGTTCTAGTCATCTACATTTCTAACATTAATCTATCAGATGGCTTTATGTAATTTTTTCAATGGCTTGTCTTTATTTTAGGATAAAACCCTAAACACATAATCATGAATAAAAAGGATCTGTCTTTTACACAAATTCATCTCAAGCCCTTGGCATCTTTTGTTCCATATATACTATCCAAATGCATCTCTTCAGCTACTAAAACATATATAACCTTTCCCATTTCCTGGGGCTCCGCACAGGTGCTCCACCTTTCAGAAATCCTTTTACCTAGTGCCTTTAAATTACCATCTTGCAGATTAGAAATCACATCTTCAGAAAGGCTGCCTCTGCTAACTCTTAAGTAAATTCACATCCTTTATTCTATATTCCAACACCTAATTTTTTTTTAAAGATTTTATTTATTTATTTGAGAGAGAATGAGGGATAGAGAGCACGAGAGGGAAGAGGGTCAGAGGGAGAAGCAGACTCCCTGCCGAGCAGGGAGCCCAATGTGGGACTCGATCCCAGGACTCCGGGATCATGACCAGAGCCGAAGGCAGTAGCTTAACCAACTGAGCCACCCAGGCACCCCCCAACACGTAATTTTTGTCTTCAAAATACGTTTCTCTATTACATATTTATTTTCTCATTTGTTTTACTACTTATTTTCTTACTGTAAAACTCAAAACTACTTCTAACTACTACTGCAAAACAAGTCCTTACCACAAGGTAAATATTAATTGTAGGATAAAATACTGAATTTTAAAAATGAACTTGGATGAAAGTAAAAGTAAATAAGAATGAAAATTAAGGTTACTGGGGAAGGCAGCTGAGTAAAATATCCATTTAGTTTCTGAAAATTATGCAACAGTTATCCACCATCTCTCTCTGACTAATCTCTCTTACCTTATTACAGTAAAATGTGTTTTCTGTCATTTACCTTACAAGTGAGAAATATGCACATCCAAACTAGCTCAGTCAAAAATATAAATGGAAACAGGTGACACCTGGTCATTCTCCAATTGCTTATCACCTTATATTGATATACATGTCTCTACCCCATTGTTCCATCTTCCCTGTGCCTAGTCACGATCGTTTTTCTGCTTTATCTCAATCAAGATAATCAGATGGTGTATTACTTTCATCAGCAGTGTTTTAATATTATTCATCCATCCTACTGATGCTCACTAGGTTTTGTTTCTCTAATGACTTTCCCAAATTCTCCTTTCCATTCCTTTACAGCCAAGGCCAATCGTTCTTGAATTTCACAGAAATGTATTTCAGGAATTGCAATAGTTAACATTTCAAAAGGCTTAGGAAAATCTAAGAAATTAAACTTGAGGATGTTGGGAAAAAATAAAGTAACTAAGTGCTATGGGAACAGACTTTGGGAAACCAAATGCCTGGGACTCTGCAATAAGGAAATGTTGAATATAGGCTAAAGTTGGCTATCTGGATAGTGGAGCAGCCTGAAGAACTCTAATGTGCTAAATGGGTCAAGTATGAGTTGAAGGCAAGTGGGATTCTCCTTTGAATGAAGTACAACATGTTCAAAAAGTTGAGTAAAGCAAACGATATTCTCTGAACTAATGAGAAATGACTAGCAATCCCCAAAAGCCAAAACACTTTATATTGATAAATAAAAATCAACAACTACTGTTAGCGAATGATAAATACAAACTGAAAGCATGGAACTTCTTGAAAACAATGATAATAAAGATACAATACATCAGAATCTATGGCCTTTAACTGTAGTGCTGCAAACTCATAGACTAAAAGGCTTACATCTAATGAAAAACTAAAGAATTAAAATGAATGAATTAAATATTAAATCAAAAATTAGAAAAAGAATGATAGTCTGCTGAAGGAAAACAGAAAAAGGGAAATGAATATAATAAAAACAAATTTTAAGTAAAATTGTACAATTAACACATGCAAACAAACCAGTAGCCTACCTATTCAAGGAACAAAAGATAGGAGGAAAATCTAAACACAATGACAGTAGGGAAACAGTCATCAATAAGGAAATAAAAAATGTTTAAGAAACCCATACAAGATAACTATGCAAATAAATTTGAGATGTACATGAAATGATGAATTTTTTGAAAATTTATAAAAACTCACCCCAGTTAAATTTACTGACTTGCTTCTAACAAATAAAATATGAAAAGGGGAAAAAATAATAACTTCTCAATGAAGAAAACCAGCAGACACCACTTCATACAAGTTTTTAAGGTTAGCACCCCACTGATAAATCATGTTGATATCATGTGCCCCTAATATACAATAAGAAGGGCACTTCTCTGGTATTCTTCCCACAAATCCATAATCTCAGTTTAATAACTGAGAAAACACCAAACACACCAAAATTTTGAGGCACTCTACTAACCAAACAGTATCTTCAAAAGTATCAAGGTCAAGAAAGAGAAGGAAAAACAGAAACTGTCACATTTGGAGGAAACTAAGGACACAGGATGACTAAAAGTAATGTGGTATCCTGGATTGGATCCTGAAACAGAAAAAAAGACATTAGTGCCAAAACTGGTGAAATCTAAATAAAATATTTATAGTATTGTAAAATGTTAATTTGATAGTGTTTTCACAAATGTACCATGGTTGTGTAAGATGTTATCATTATGGGGATTATATACTGGAACTCTTTGTACCACATTTGTAAATCTTCTGTGAATCTAAAATTATTTCAAAATAAAAGTAAGACCATAACAGAAACAGATTCCAGAAGAGATGGAAAATCTAAACAGACCAATTTCCACAGAATAATTTTAAAAATTGTATATTTATCCCACAAAAAGGTGATTACAATTAGCTTCCCTGTTGTCCAGGTTTCAGTCCCTGTAAACTATTTCCCACTGATGTTAATGAGGGTGCCTTAGAGAAATAGCTAATTCCTAGTCCAGGGCAGGGAAGATACAAGGTGAATCTAAGACCTCTTTTACTAAAGTGCAAAGAAGCTTTCAAAGACAGAGTTAATAATTTGTGCTTTTGGTCATGTAACATTAAGAGGGATCAAATTTGCCTTCCTACCTTAAACAACTAGAAAACCAAACAAAATATACGAAACAACATCTTTCAAATATTGGAAAATAGATAGTACAGGATAGAAATTTCCTGAGGGAGGGGAAACAAATGAAGTGTGCCCCACAAGTACCACAGCTCACTGTCTAAAGAGAATTTCTAGAAAGAAGCACATGGAGGAGAAACTAAGTGCAGCTGTACCCCTGAGTTGAGAAGACAGAATAGAGAATTAAGGGAAAGAAAGAAGTGCAGAATTTGCAAGGCAGTGTACTAGAAAGGGGGGAGCTGCACAGATCTCTGGAGATCTGTAGAGGAATCCCCTTGATACTGGGGCTGAATGTGAATCTGGGCATCTGTATGAGGACACTAATGAGAACAAAGAATGTACTACTAGATAGGAGTAAGCAGAACATCCCCTAGAAGTCACAAAGAGCAGGGGATAGTTCTTGTTTCCACCAACCACAGTGGAAAGGCCCCATACCACACAAGGCATCAAACATAGTCCCCAGAAGGATATTGCCTCAGTAGTGGGGCCAAGTTAGCCCTAGACTAAAAGCTGTTCTGGACCCACCCTAACAAAGCTTAAAAGCAAACCATGAAAGGATCAACAGATTCCAAATTACATAACTACATCCAAGAACAAAGCCCAAATATGTAAAAGAATATTAGAAAATCCAACATTCCAACACAGTAAACTTCACAATGTCTGGCATCTAATAAAAAATTATTAGGCATGTAAAATAGCAGGAAAGTATGACCCTTACTAGGAGAAAATTAAAAGAAACACAACAAAGAATGATACAGATAATATAATTAGTAGATAAGGATATTGAAAGAGCTGTTTTTACTTTTATTTTTAAAATATTTTATTTATTTATTTATTTGAGAGAGAGGGAGAGTGAGAGAGAACATAAGCAGGGGGAGAGGCAGTTGGAGAGGGAGAGGCAGACTTCCCTGCTGAGCAGGAAGCCAGATGCGGGGCTTGATCCCAGGACCCTGGGATCATGACCTGAGCCAAAGGCAGATGCTTAACCGACCGCCACCCAGGTGCCCTGTTTTGTTTTTTTTCTTGAGTGGCATTTTTTGTAGATTAAAAATTTCTAATAATTTATTTCATTTGATTTCTCAAAGTTTTTGGCAAAATGTTTTTCAAAATACCATATTTTCAAAGCTTCATGGTTTGTAATGTGGTGCCTTTTTTCCTTACATAAATTTTTTTTCTTGATTCATGTTGATAGAGTTGCACCACTTTTATTCATTCTTTGAGAGAACCAAATTTATAGTTGTGACTTGCTCTTTTGTATGTTTGGTTTTTATTTCATTAATTTCTGTTCTTTCCTTTATTATTTCCTTTCTTCTACTTTCTTTAAGTCTGTTGTGCTCTTCTTTTCCTGGCATATCAAATGGATGATCAGCTTATTAATTTTCAATATTTCTTCTGGAATCAAAAGATCCATTGGGAGAGGAAGCTTGAAATCAAAACAGATAAACAATAAGAGCCATGAAGAAGTGGTGAATTGGCCCTGAGGATCTACCACTTTTCTCCTGCAGAAACACTTATTCTGAGTACAGCTAGCAGTAAAGGCAAAGTGATTAAAAAAAAAGGTAACTAAGAATTATCAAAACTGAAAATCAGCACCAACCCAGTTCAATCGCTGATTATATTATAGTGATCAGCCTGCCACTCTATCGATTAATAGAGGAAAATGTAAATACTCTGGTGGAAGATACCATCACCGGAAACCATTCAGTTCTTTTTTTTTTTTTATAAAGTATTTATTTATTTGAGAGACAGAGAGAGAAGGAGAGAAAGCAGGGGGAGAAACAGGAGGAGAGGGACAAGGAGACTCTGTGCCAAACACAGAGCCCAATCTAGCGGGGCTCAGTCCCACAACCCTGAGATCATGACCTGAGCTGAAACCAAGAGTCAGATGCCCAACTGACTGAGCCACCCAAGTGCCCCCCATTCAGTTCTTTTGTACACAATATCCAGCATACGATCACAGTTACTAGTAACTTGAAGAGGAATTACCATATGATGAATAACAAGAGCAAAGAAGAAATATAAGCATAGCCCACAGATGAAAAAACAGTAATGAAAGAAAGTAAATAAAGAATGAAGCATTTATATAAAATTAGATGTTATAAGACAAATTGAATTTCTAGAACTGAAAAAGACAACATATGATATGAAAAACCCATCTTTAAGAGCAGACTTATCATAGCAGAATACAGGTAAGTGAGCTGAAATACAGGTCAACAGAAAATAATAGAGATAAAAGGAGATATATACATGATAGAACTGTGAGATACACTCAAAAGATCTAACATAGGTATAACTGGAGTCCCAGAAGAGAGGGAAGAATGGTCAAGTATTTTTCAAAAGCTGAATGAAGACTTTCACTTCTCAGTAGAAACTATAAAATCACCGCAAGCCAACATTTCCACTGCTATAAGTATAAAAATAATACTAAAAAGATAATGTTCTTGATTCATTCTACACTGTAAAAATTACCAAGGTTCATTTGTAGCAAAGAGAAAACCAGGACCCCATGTTACCTGTTTTCCATGTAGGTGGACCAGCAATTAAAATGGAATATTTGTAGATATTCTGAACATACACATAATATGAAATTTGTTTTCTTTGCCATTGGTTATTCAGAAAAAATCCTAGAATTCAAACCTTTATTTTAGAAAAAGAAGGAATTGCAGGATGGGGCAGAGGGAGGTAGGAAAGTAAATAAAAGAAAAGATTCAGGTGCTGAATGGAGATGCCCATTTCCATCTAACAAAAGCCAAAGTAGGCCTCTGAGAATATGGAGAATATGAATATGGAGAAATTTATCTAGTTTCTCGGCATAGAGCATAAAATATACAGTGGAGAAAGCAGCTATTCCAGATAGCAGATTCTACATCACTTCAGGCAGATGTCCTTACCCAGTGAGACCAAGTTAGTATAATTCTCCAACATCACATCTCTGTACAAATCCCTCTGACTGGAATTTAGGCATTCCCACTCCTCCTGAGAGAAGTCTATGGCAACATCACTAAATGTCAATGGCACCTGAAAAGACAAACCCATGTATTATTCATAACAGTAAAGAAAAAATGTTCAAGATAGAATGACTGAATTGCAGTAAGGGGGCAATATAGAAAAACAAATAACCTGAAGTTACAAGATCATGACACGATTAGATGAGAATAAATACATTAGCTTCTGAAGTAGAGTACCAACAGTCTTGAAGAATCCTGTTGGAGTGCAAAAAATTCCTTTAAAAATAAAGGAAAACTTAAATACCTAAATGTATGAAAATGAATAAAGCAAACAGACTTTCCCAATTAAATGAAACAGTATATATAAGAACATTACCTACTATGTACCTGAATCACATACTATTAGTAAATACAAGTTCTTATGTCTTTTCTCTTCAAGGACTATGTAAAAAGAATTGTTCATTTTTTCTCCAAAATGAATTATAAAATCTCTTACAGCTAAGATGGAGTAACATGGATTGGATTTACCCTCCCATGTGAAATAACAAAAAACATAGACAAATTGTATGAAACAATGGTTTTTGAGGCAGAAAATATTGGGTAGTGATCCCTGAGAGACAAGTAACAAATGAAGTGAGCCTTATGATTGCTGTGGCTTACTGCCAGCAGACAGTATTTACTACACAATTATTAGAATGGCTAAAATTTAATAAGACTGACCATTTTAAGTGTTGCCGGAGATGTGAAAAAAAAATGGAACTCTCACACACTGATGATGGGACTGTAAAATGGTAAATCATTTTGAAAAATAGTTTATTGATTTCTTAAGAAGTTAAACATTCATATCCCGCAGTCATTCCACTCCTAGTGTTTATCCAAGAGAAATGAAAACATATGTCCACACAAAGGTTTGTGCATGAAGCAGCTTTACTCCTAATAGCCAAAAAGTGGAAAGAACTCAAAAATCCATCAACAGAGGAATGGATAGACAAATCTTTGTATATACTGAGAATAGAATACTAATCAGCAATTAAATGGATGAACTACTAATATATGCAACAATATGGATGAATCTTAAGATAAATATGCTGAATGAAATAAGATTAAAAAAGAACACATGATGTATGATTCCATTTATATAAAATTCTAGAAAATGTGAATTAACCTATAGTGGCAGAAAGCAGAACAGCAGTTGCCTGGGCATGAAGGGCAAGTTTGGGGGCAGGTAGGAAGGGGCAATTATAAAGGGGCATGAGAAAAAATTTGGAATGATGGATATGTTCATTATCTTGGCTGTGGTAATAGTTTCACAGGTATATACGTAAGTCAAAATTTATCAAATTCTACTCTTTAAATATGAGCAATTTATTGTCAATTATATTTCAGTAAATCTGCTTTAAAAAGACAAAATACATACACTTAATTATATGTCAATTATACTTCAAAAAGCTGATAAAGTTTCTATCTGAGGAAATGGAGTTTGTGTAAAATTAAGTAATTTTATCAAAGCATAATATATGTCAGATTATGCATCATAAGCAGTTCCTTTATTCTCACAAGTTAATGTTTTCATTTAGTCCCTCTTAAAGACATCAGATTTAATCTTCCTTAAAGTATTAAGGTATTATTAATAATATTATTAAAGTAATATTAAATTTTAAAGTATTATACTATTACGATATTTAGGTTGGACACAAATTCTAACCTCTTCCCCACTGTTCAATACCATCTACCACTTGTAGTTCTAGATGATCTTCCTTTCTACAATCCCTTACTGAACTCCTGTTCCTAGTTAGAACACACTAATGTAGGATGATCAGAACAACACTGATTTACTGAAGACCAGCAATTTCTCTTTCAATACAAAATTCTCAGTGATTTCTGTAGCCAGGGCCCTGATATCTGTCTGTCTGTCTGTCTCTCTCTGCAGGCACCAATAACATTTCTACCCAAACCTAAAAGCTTTCAAAGCTGAGTTCTCATTTCACACCTGAGTCTGAGACCATTCATAACCCCAAACTCCCTTATCTTCCTGGAAAACTAAGGAGAAAGTTTTCTCTCCTGTGGTCAGATAGGGCCACCATTTATTTTCCTTTCTTTTTTTGGCGGGGGGGGCGGAGGCAGAGGGAGAGAGAGAATCTTAAGCAGGCTCCATGCCCAGCACGGAGCCCAACATGGGGCTCGATCTCACGACCCTTAGATCATGACCTGAGCCACAATCAAGAGTCAGATGCTTAGCCAACTGAGCCACCCAGGTGCCCCAGGACCATCATTTCTATAAAATGAAACCACAAACCTGACAAAGGAAGCTTAAATACTTCCTTCAAGGTACTTCACTCGTGCACTGCTCCAACACTGCTCTTGAGAAAAGACTGAACACATAGAAAATGAATAATTGAAAATCAGTTAGAAAAAAGGGAATAAATGAGGAGGACACCATCCTTCTCTGTGAGGGGAGAAACCATGAAATAGGGTCAGAGATACAGCTTTCCTAGGTAGGAAGTATGGGGATAAAGAATGAAAGTTTTACCTGAGTTAAAAATCATAGTATTTCAGGAGGGAGACAGACATCCACTTACCTGGGCCATGGTTTTCAAACTGCTGATCTTCCTCAGGTTTCCTCTATTAGAGAAGCTGATTTCAGAGAAGCCAGAGCTGGGAGAAGAAAAAGAGGCCTTGAGATCTGGTGTATCTCAGAACTCCAAAAATTTTTTAAGGTAATATAACCTTTCGTCGTTCTTCTTTATTCCTGCTTCCCACTGTCCTTGCCCACTCTCTACCCTCCCAAAAACATGAACACATGTCAGGGGATATGGGAAGTCTAGACAAACCCAAGCCCTTCCCCATATCTACAGATACAAGCCACATAAGAGCGGATACAGAACAGAGGCACTCTTGCACCCAAGCTAGATCCAGACACCCACACTGCTTTATTTCTCATACTTACCAAGCCAACTGAACCCAGCCTGGGTTGTTCAGTGATACTGAATAGATCCTCATCCAGGCCTATCTTACAGGGTAAAGACCAAGCCACACAACACAAACTGCAACAACCTTCATGTCTTTGGGATGGACTTGGACATGAAATCTTTTGCACCAGATAAAAGACAGAAAACAGTAGAGACCAACCTGGAAATCTTGACCACTGTAAAACTGCCTGCCCATATGAAGCCTTTCCCCTAAGCCAGAACTATGATTCCCAAGATCCTCTGGGCTAACCAGCCTGGATTTCCCGATCAGGATCTACTTTGCTGGCGTGAGTCATTCCCTGTGCCTCAGCAACCAACCCACCCAGTACCCACTAGAGAGGAGTGAATTCATTCTTACTGAAACCATATAGCAGCACATAGATTTTTTGCAACCTTCTATGTGATAGGTAGTCTATACACATTGACATTTAATTCCACAATGTAGTTATTATCTCAGTTCAACAGATGAAAAAATGAAAGTTCAAAGAATTAAAGACATATCCCCATATCACAAACAATAAGTAGAAGTGACGTGTTTTGAATTGCATTTCTATAGCTATAAGGCCAATTATTTCTCCAACTATTGCCTTTTAAACCCAGATTTTTTGTTCCCTTGTGTGAAACCTAAGAACAGGTAATTAAGACATCACCTATCAAAAGATTTACTAAAGAGATGTTTTTAAGTAATAAGGTACTATCATTTATAGGTATTCAATTTTCAGATTTTAAAGGTTGATGATGCACCACATATAGTAAGGTGTAGGGAAAGGAGCACTGTTATGGTGTCCTGTAGACTTGTGAAAACCTAGGGCATTTGAGACATGTAAGCAGAATTATGCATAAGAATTTAACCATGAAAGGTGATTTCTGAATCTCCATCCAAAGGAAATAACTATAAAATGTGCCTAGAGATGTAGAAAGGAATATGATAGATTACTAGTGAAAATTTTTAAAAAACTGGAGAAATTTAAAGGTACTAAATCTAAAGGTTCTTAGATGGGTGGTTAATTAAACAAACTATAGTGCATTCATACAATGGAAAATGAAGTAGACTTTGAAAATGATTGTACAGATCACCGGTTCTCAATAGTGGAACATTCAGCAATGTCTGAAGACATATTTGGTTGTCAAAATGTGGGAAGGGGTGCCATTGTTTCTATTAGGTAGAGAACCAGGGATGCTGCTAAACATCCTATAATGCACAGGAAAGCCCCCCACAACAAAGAATTATCTAGCCAAAAATATCAACGGCACTAAGGTTGAAAAACCCTGAAGTAAACTCATTAAAGAAAGATAACATAATCCAGAATCTGTATATTATCCACAATGCCACCTTACAATAACAAATATTAAACATGCCAAGAAACAGGAAAAAGTTTACTGATAATCAAGAAAAAAAATCTCAGTAGAGGGTGGGAGGATGGGTTAGCCTGGTGATGGGTATTAAAGAGGGCACATTCTGCATGGAGCACTGGGTGTTATATGCAAATAATGAATCATGGAACACTACATCAAAAACTAATGATGTAATGTGTGGTGACTAACATAACATAAAAAAAAAATCTCAGTAGAAACAGACTCAGAAATGACCTACATAGTGGAGCTAGTGGACAAGGACTTGAAAACATTATGATTAAGATGCCAAAAAAAATAGAGGAAAACATGGGCAAAATGGGGTGCAAAATGGGTTCAGTTGGTAGAGCATGCTACTACTGATCTCAGGATTGTACGTTAAAGCCCCATGTTGGGTGTAGAGCTTACTTAAAAAGGGGGAGGGTGCCTGGCTGGCTCAGTCAGAATACAAAATGAAGCATATCAATAGAGATTTAGCTTAAAGATTCACATGAACACTTTATAATTTAAAATATAATATTGAAAATTAAGAATGCATTGGGTAGTCAATGTAAAGTCAAATTAACAATAATCTTATGCAGAGAGAAAAAAAGGAAAGAACAGAGCAAAATATAAAAGAAATATAGGAGACAAACCATGAAATTGAAAACCTAAAAATATAGGACAGAAAATTTATTTGAAAAAATAATGGACAAAAACATCACAAATCTCATGAAATGTTTTGATACATAAATTAAAAAACTCATCAAAGCTAACCAGATAAAATAAGGAAATCCATACCTAGGCACAGCGTGGCCAAACT